TGTTTTCTGTTTTTCTAGGACAATGTCTCACTATGTACTCCTAGTTAGCATGGAAATCTATAAGTAGACCAGGCTGACCTTTAACTCAAAGAAATATTCCTGCCTCTGCTTCTTGAGACCTAGGATTAAAGCCAGGTACCACCACACCCTGCCTATTTTTGAATATTTATGAATTTTATTTTAGTATGTCTATTATGTATATCCCTGTGTGGGTTTGTACAGATATGTCTTCAGGCCAGTGGAAGCCAGGAAAGAGTGTTGGATCTCCTGGAGCTGGAGTTCCAGACTATTGTGAGTCACCTGATACGGTGCTAGGAACCTCACTCTTGTCCTCCATAAGAGCAGTACTCTCTAGCCCCCTGTTTGTTTGCTGGGACAGGGTCTTATGTAGCCAATAAGGCCCTGAACTTGCTTTGTATGGAGGCTAACTTGGAATTCTAAAACCTCTAGCCTCTGCCTCTTGAGTGCTGGGCTTACAGATGCATATCACCAAGTTTGGCAGAATTTTCTTTTAAAAAAGTTCCCTCGGCTGTTCATGGCAGCACACACCTACCATTCCCGAACACAGGAGGCAAACAAAGGCAGGTTAACACAAACACAATGTCTACATAAAGAGTTCCAGGCAAGCCAGGGCTACATGATACATAGGGGAATGATAACAAAATCTCCCTTCTCTCCTAGGGCAAAGATACTGAAATATGGACTAGGGCTGTAGCTCAGTTGGTAGGGTACATGCCTACTATGCATGGAACCCTTAGTCTGATCATTGCATAAACCAGGCAATGATGGTGCAAGTCTGTAATCCCATTACAGAAGATGGAGGCAGGAAGATGAGGAGTTCAAGACCAACCTTGGAGTTTTTAATATGGCAGCCTCCTCCGTGAGTCGGGCAATGGCATTTTGTAGGTGTGCTGGTCAGCATGTTGCTTTTATCAGAAAAAAATCCTTGGACTGTGGCATCGAGTGAGCTGAGAAAACATTTTGCTCAGTTTAGCCATTTAAAATTGTGCAATGTACCTTTTGATAGAGAGACTGGCTTTCACAGAGGCATGAGTTGGGTTCAGTTTTCTTCAAAGGAAGAACTTCAGATTGTACTACAGCAGGAAAACCATATTAACGATAGAGCAAAGATCCATGTTCAAGCTCAGAAACCAAAGGGTGTGCAAGGGGCTCGAACATCTGATGCAGAGAAAGACTTCTGTGCTGATTATTGTACTAACCATTAGATAAATAGAACTGAGACTTTGAAAAAAAAAAAAGACCAGCCTTGGATACATACTGAGTCTGAGGGCAGCCTAGGTTAAAAACTCTGACTGAAACAAACAAACAAAAAAAAAGAGACGTGAATTTTTCAAATGAAACCCTGTCTTGACATCTGCTGTGCACAGGCAGCAGCAGGGAGAGGTCTCTGTGTCCAAAGCTGTAGACTCACACGTTGTTTCGCTCACCCTTTCATATCACAGAGACAGAACTGTGACACATTCTCCTGATGAAGAAGATTCAGTCAGCACTTTTTACCTTTGGTTGCTTAAAAGAGGTTTATTTGCCCAAAGTCAATGGACCCAGAAGGCGGACCAGCATTACTCTATGATTCCAGTTTACATAACACCAGTAAACACAACTACAAGTCTGCAGCCTGTGACCTTTCCTTCTTGGGTTTTGAATTATTTGCCATTGATCTTTCTGAAGTAAATACAGAAGAAGCTGGGCTATACCTGTATTTCCTGGAGACCCTGCCCCCAAAATAAAGACTATTTCACCATGGCTCTTGGTTACTAGCCAGAAATTGTTGATAAGACCCTGTTGCTGAAGATACCATACACACTGGTCATAGCACATGGAGAAATTGAGTTGGCACTGACCACAAAGCTTCCTCCCTGCTTGCTAACTTTCATAGCACTGAAGAGTTCTATGCAGCCTGCTAGGGAGGAAATGCCATCAACACTCTTACCCATCCGTAAACTCTGTGAGGTATAATAACCATAGGTGCCGTAGCGGCATGAATGTTATGGGGACAACCAACTGGTTTCTGTTTAGCTTTAAAGCCTACTTCACAGAAGGAAACACACGTCTGATACTGTAAATCTGGCCAAGAACCCAAGGCTGGGGAGCTCACAGGCTGCAGGGATGAACCAACTCTTATTCTGATAAGGACATAGTATCAAAACACCCTCTAAAGTTGGTATTCCTCCACCCACGGATGGTTCAGCTCTCAGATCTCATGAGAGACGTTTCAGTGTGAAGTAGGTGATGATGGTTTAACTCAGAAATGAACAATTATGTCAAAATGCAGAGAATGTTAGAGGAGTGCTCAGTCACAAGTGGGCATCTGTAGCAACACACACACACACACACACACACACACACACACACACACACACACCCTGAGGTTCAGGTAAACGGAAAGAGAGGAAGAGAAGAACAGAATGAAAGGTTGGACAAACCAGAAGACAGAGAGGATGTGAGTGAAACTGTCTTGTGGACAGGACCACTGCGCTCATGAACTCATGGCAGCCAAGGTTGCCTGCACAAGGCCTGCTCAAGATTGAGCCAGTCCGCACGCTAGCATAGAGGGGTAAAGGACTCACAAGCCTGACCCAACCCCCAGCTGAGGATCTATAGACTGTTGGTGGCTTCTAAGAAACGGAGAGTCATTCTTCTTTAAAGGGAACAAAAGTCAAGTCCTCTGCAAGAGCAACGAGTGCCTTTAACCACTGAATCATTCCTCCAACCTCTAGGCTGATTATCTTATGATATCTTGTCGCAATGGCAGGAACTAACGCAGGAGACTGGCTTATATCATTACAGAAGCTGAGAGACCTAGTAATGGTCATTTGGAAGTTGAAGTCCTAGAGAAGCCCCAGGCATGTAGTAATCCCAGCATTCTGGAGATGGAGGCAGAAAGATCAGGGATTCGAAGAGGAACAGGAAAGCAAGGTTATTCTCAACTAAATAGGAAGTTCAAAGCTAGTCTAGGATATAGAGGACCCAATCATAAAAAATAAAATAAACAAAAACATGGATGCTGGCTGGTGTTTGGTATTCTGGACTAAAACCATCTTTAGGGTAAAAATCAGAACAAAAAGGATTCTGGATAAATGACAGAGTCTAAAGGCTGTGAAACACTACGTTTCTACATTCAAGGATAAGAGAATGGTGTCCTAGCTTTAGGAAAAATATAAAGCTTCTTTTCCCCTACCCTTTTTGTTTTGTTTTGTTTTGTTTCATTTTGTTTTTCAAGACAGGGTTTCCTAGTAGCTACGGAGCCAGTCCTGGAACTCATTCTGTAGACCAGGCTGGCCTCAAACTCACAAAGATCCACCTACCTCTGTCTCCTGAGTGCTGGGATTAAAGGTGTGCGTCACCACTGTCCAGCTCCCCTACTCTTTAATGCTTGGGTTTAGCACAGCTGATCTGAGGTGCCTGCCCCTGTTGGGGGATCTTTCCTCATCAAAACACCAAGTTCCCAAACAATTTTTTTATGGAAACATCTTCATAGACATCCTCAGAAATGATGCTTTGCTGGATCTCTAGGTATTGTTGGGGGACAGGGAAAGGAGGAGAAACAGAGTTGAAACAGGAGGTTATGTAGCCCAAAACATCCCATAGTCTTGATGTTCTGCATCTCACGCCCCAGTGCTGGGATTACAGGCATGCACCACCATGTCTGGCTCTCCTACATCTTCTCAACCCAGTCAAGCAGACACCTAAAATTAAACAGCACAGTCAGGTATTAGAAAGATATGGAGCTTTAAAAACGGGATGGAATTACAGTTTTCTGGAGTTGAGTTATACTTTTATCAGAGTAAAGAGGTGATTTGAGGGTAGGAGTAAGGAGAAGGCTAATTTAAATCTTGTATAATAACAAATAGGCTGAAAATGCAGCCTTCCTAATATCTGGTTGTACCTTTATGTGACAAAACTATTCATTAGGAAATGTAACCGGGGCTGGGGATGTCACGCGGGTGTTAGAGGACTTGCTTAGCATCCATGAGGCTCTCTTCTCCAGTGCCACGTAAAACTAAGCATGGTGGTACTGGCCTGTAATATTAGCCCCCAGGAGGTGGATGAAGGAGGATCAGAGACTCAAAGTCATCTTTAGCTACACAGTAAACTGGCCTTGACTTCATAAATCCCTGTTGCAAAAATGCCAGAAAGGGGGGGGGGTGCTGAAGAGATGCTTCAACAGTTAAGACCACTGGCTGCTCTTCCAGAGGACAGAGTTCAATTCCTAGCATTCATATGATAACTCAAAACTGTCTGTAACTCCAGTTCCAGGGGACCCAACACCCTCACACAGACATACATGCAGACAAAACACCAATGTACATAAAATTACAAAAAATTTTTTTCAAGACAGGGTTTCTCTGTGTTACAGCTCTGGCTGTCCTGGAACTCACTCTTATAGAGCAGGCTGGCCTCAAACTCACAGAGATCTACCTGCCTCTGCCTCCCAAGTACTGGGATTAAAGGCGTGCATCACTATTGTATGGCAAAATAAATCATTTTTTTTTTAAAAATATGCCAAAAAGAAAAAGAAAAAAAGAGGAAAGAAGGAAAGTAAAAAGAAGTTGCAGCCAGGGGTTGTGGTGCATTCCTGTAGTTTTAGCATCTGGAGCCTACATATCGAGTTCAAGACCAGCCTTGGCTACATGAGCTTTTGTCACAAATCAGAAGACAAAGAAAGCTGAACTTGAGCTTGACAGGACAGGTCTGTGACTTACTCAAGAGACTAAGGAAGGATTGCTAAAGACCTTGTTGAAGGGAGCTAGAGATGTGGCTCAATTGTTAGAGTACTTGCTTAGCGTGCATGAAGCCCTGCTTTCAATTTCCAGCAGCAGAAACACCGAGGAGTGAAGGAATAGGCCTTTTATCCCAGCACTTGCAAAGTGGAGGTAGAAAAATCAGAAACTCAAAGTCATCCTTTGCTGCATAGTGAGCTCAGAGGCAGCCATAATACACGAAACTTTATTCCAAAAATAAAAAAATTGCCCAGGGTGGTGATGACACTTTTAATGTCAGCACTTAGGAGACAGACGTAGGTATATTCTTATGAGACCATCCTGCATAGTGAGTTCCAGCACAGCCAGCAATATGTAGAGGGATCCTGTCTGAAAAAAAAATATTTCAATTAAATGGAAAGATGGTTAAGATTAGCATTTCTTTGCAGAATAGCATCTTTATGCTCTGCCCAGCCACCCCCAACTCCAGGCTAGGGACTAAACACAGGTCCTTACACATGCCACAAATGCAAGGCAAGTGCTCTACCAGTCCACCATTGGGGCTTGTAGTCGGAAGTTTCTGTCCTGCCCGGTTCTGCAGCCATTCAGTCCCATGGAAATACACAGAGGCTTATCTTAATTACCAACTGTTTGGCCTATTAGCTCAAACTTATTATCAAATAGTTTTTTTTTTTTTTTTCCGAGACAGGGTTTCTCGTAGCTTTGGAGCCTGTCCTGGAACTAGCTGTTGTAGACCAGGCTGGCCTCAAACTCGCAGAGATCCACCTGCTTCTGCCTCCCAAGTGCTGGGATTAAAGGTGTACGCCACTACCACCGCCCAGCCCTATCAAATAGTTATTAAATTAGCCCATAATTCTTGTCTATGCTTAGCCACGTGGCTTGGTACCTCTTCTCAGTGAGGCATTCTCATTTTGCTTCTTCTATGTCTGGTTGGTGGTCGCGTCTCTGCCTTTCTTCTTCCCAGAATTCTCTTAGTCTGGTTGTCCCGCCTATACTTCCTGCCTGGCTACTGGCCAATCAGTATCTTACTAAACTAATATGAGTGACTAATCTTTAGAGTGTACAATAGCTTTATCCTACAACATTTCCCCTTTTTTCTTTTCAAAACAAAAACTTTGAATCTAATATCCTTTGTTTAGCTTTTTTTTTTTTTTTTGACCACTATCCATAACAACCTGTAACCAACACTCTAAACAAAGACAAACATCCATAATCCATTTTGGGGGGAATGTGGGCATGATTTTCTAAGCTACTTCCTGCTGATTGGGGGCACTGATAAGCCTATGGGGACCCAAAGAAAATTTAGGATTTTGGTCAAGTCCTGCCTGGATTATTCTGCGAGGCTCAATCACCTCAACCAGCAGCCTTGAAGTTCTGGATGCAGAATTCAGAACTCAGAAGAGGCTAAGCCTCCAATACCTATCCTGGGATTCCAGCATCTACTGGCAATTTCTGGGTCCAATTCTCCACTGCCACCAAGGAATGACTATTCATAGATGGAATGGCTTAAGTGAGATAAATGAATTTCCTCACAGTTTTTGGAGGCTAAGGCCAAAATGAGTGTTGACAGTTGGTTGCTTCCAATGGCTGTGAGAACAAAGCTGTTCCACATATCAGCCCCAGCTTCTGATGGCTTCATGTCTTTTCTTTTAAGAGTTTAATACATTTTTTAAAAATTTAGTATATGTGTGTATGTGTGTAGGGTGTGTATGTGTTTGTAGTTGTAGGGTGTATATGTGTTTGTAGTATATGTATGTGTGTGTTTGTATGTATGTGTGTATGTGTATTTGTGTATGCCAATGTGTGTTTATATGTGTGTGTTAATGTTTGTATGTGTGTGTGCATATATGTATGTTTGTGTATATGTTTTTGTCTGTATGAATGTATGATTAGATGTGTGTATGTTCGTGTGCATGTATTTTTGTGTGCATGAATGTGTCTTTGTTTTTGTGTGCCTGTATATGTGTGTGTGTGTGTATGTAATGTGTGTTTGTGTCTGCATGTGTTTATATGTTTCCGTGTGTGTTTCTGTGTGTTCATTCAAGCGCACCATTTCCTGTCTATAAGCCCACTAACTCATTTAGGATTAGGGGGTCACTGCAATAACCTCTTTCTGAAATTACACTGTAAAAACCTTCCCAAACAATGTCATATTCTGCAGCCCCAGAGGTGAAGACTTTGGCATATAAATTTGTAGGCACAACTCAACCCTTGCAACCCATAATAGAGAGACACAGAGGGAGATGTGAGGTAAACGCGGGGACTGGAATGACAGAGGTGCAAACAGAAGAACACCAAGGGTTATTAGCGGTTACCAGAATGAGGCAGGAACATGCGAGAAGCTTTGCTAGAAGCGTTAAAGGGAGCAGAGTGTGTCACACAGCCACTTCAGACAGACAGCCTCTAGAACTTCAAAAGAATGAGTTTCACTCATTTTAAGTCCCAGGCATGTAGTACTTCATTATGGCAGCAACAGAGAGCTACCCTAATAGGCACCGTGGACTCAATATAGCGGCACCAACACAAAATAAAGGGCCAAGTGAGTAGCTGGAGATGTGGCTAGACCGAAGCTGAGTGAGTCTGGTGTCAAACACCTGTAATCCCAGCACGTGAGAGACAGAGGCAGGAGGACCTAGAGTCGATATGATCCTGGGGTACACAATAAGTTTCATAGGTGTGTGCATGCCTACCAATAAATAACAAATAAATTAATGTTTTCTAAAAGACACTGTCTTAGCCGGGCGGTGGTGGCGCACACCTTTAATCCCAGCACTCAGGAGGCAGAGGCAGGCAGATCTCTGTGAGTTCGAGACCAGCCTGGTCTACAAGAGCTAGTTCCAGGACAGGCTCCAAAACCACAGAGAAATCCTGTCTCAAAAAACCAAAAAAATAAAATAAAATAAAAGACACTGTCTTAGTTGGGGTTATTTTTGTTGGAATGAAATGCCATGATCAATAGCAACTTGGGGAGGAAAGAGTTTATTTGGCTACACTTCCATATCACTGTTTGCCATTAAAGGAAGTCAGGGCAGGAAGTCTAACAGGGCAGGAACCTGGAGGCAGGAACTGATGCAGACAGAGGTCATGAAGGAGTACTGCTTACTGGCTTGTTCCTCATGGCCTGATCAACCTGTATTTTAACAGCACCAAAAACCACCCGTCCAAGGGTGGCATCACCAGCTAGGGGCTGGGCCCTCCCACATCAATCACTAAGTAAGAAAATGCCCTATAGGCTGGCCCACAGCCAGATCTGAATGGAGGAACTTTCTCAGTTGGGGTTTCTTCCTTTCAGATAATGTACCCGATCTCTCTTTTTCTCTATCTGAATAAAAGTTAAAAAAAATTATTTCAAGAATGTACACAAATGTACTCAAATGCTGGGTGGTGGTGGAACGCCTTTAATCCTAGCACTCAGTGAGGCAGACACGGTGGATCTATGTAAATTCAAGGCCAGCCTGGTCTACAGAGTGAGTTCCAGGACAGCCAAAGCTACACAAAGACAAAAACGTTTCAAAACAAACGAACAACAAAAAAATAAGTTCTCAAATGTACTTGATGGATAAAGGTAAACATTTTGTTCAAAAATGAAACATTTTCTTATTTTAATTCTTAAAAATATTATTTCATGTATTTAAGTGTTTTGCTGCATGTATATGTACCGCGTACATGCTTGGTGCCTACAGAGACCAGAAGAATTGGATCTCTGGAACTGGAATAATGGGTGGCTGTGAACTGCCAAGGGGGTGCTGGGAACTGAACCCCAATTCTCAGGAAGATCTGCCAGCGCTCTTAACCGCTGAGTCATCTCCCCAAACCCCAACAAATGAAACATTTTCTCATGAGCCAGACTGATGCGATAGAGTGAGTGGATCATGGAGACTGCCCCTGCCCCTGCCGAGGGACCAGGAAAGCAGAAACAGACAAAATGGGTCTAGGACTGGGCTTCTTCCTGTGAAAACTGAAACTGTCCACGCAGCCTGGTGCTTGCCAGGGGTGTGCCCAGCCAAGCGGAGCACAGTGCAGGATCAGAACACATCCACATGGGTCCTTGCCAAAGAACCTTTTATCCTTTCCCTGGGGGCTAAGACGCAGCTGCTGCTGAATGAAATACTCATCAGAGGCTTCTGATTACAAGCACTGGCTTCCGTCTGCCATTGGCCCTTCGGGGTTCCGTCTAGTTTATCCTTGCGTTTTGCTCACGTGTGGAACATTAGAGATTTCAAAGTGTGAAGGAACCAGCTGCTTCCTTCTTTCCTCCTTCTAAGGAGAGAATGAGAGAGAAAAAATAGCTCATCGCTTGAGGGTGCTGTCCACAAGAGCACCTGTGGAGAAGGGCGTGAGGCAACTCTTCACCTGGCGACAGCAGCAGGAAGCAGGGGGCCATGCGTGCGGGCTGCGCGGCTTACTCTTTCCTTTACTCTCTTTAATTCAGTCCAGGACCCGAGTTTATTGACCTATTCAGAGTAGGTCTTTCCATCACCATCAACTCTCTCTAGAAACATCTTCACAGATATACCTGAAGTGTGGTTCAAAGTGACTGTGGATTTATTAAAGACAAATGAGAAAGAACTCCCGAGGAGAGTAGGAGGGGCTCCGAGGGCAAGGACCAGACGTCTCGCTCTTGATAATCAAGGTGATCCCTTCAGCTGTGAGCCCATGACTTGGATCTCCACACAGTACTCAAAGGGACTCCAAGGGTCTTCTCTCTTGGGCACAAGGATACCAAGGCTGGTGCCCCAATTGTGTGTGTGTGTGTGTGTGTGTGAGAGAGAGAGAGAGAGAGAGAGAGAGAGAGAGAGAGAGAGAGAGAGAGAGAGAGAGAGAGAGAGAGAGAGAGA